CAGCACCACATGACAGCCAGCCCCGCCCCCTGGTGGGCTGAGCTGGCCACACACACACACACACACACACACACACATAAATAAATAAAATTAAAAAAAAAAAGAAAATGGACAATTGCTAAAAAGAACTGAACTGTGAGAAGCATAGGACACGTGAAGGGCACAGTGAACAAAGCTTGGCACATATTAAACAGTAGCATCGATTATTATTTGTAACACGTTATTAAACAAGAACAAAGCATGACAAAGGCCAGTGCTTTTAGGACATTAGCCATTCCCAGGAATAATATAGAAAGGCATCACAAACGGTTAAAGAAGGATTTGCAAATGATAACCTGGCATAAAGGGAAATGATGGGAAGTTTGAAAAAAAATATTCTAACCCAGGGTAGGAGTAGTAACATAAATAAATTTTCAAGAGAAGTTCGCCACTGTGGAGAGGGAGATCGAGGGCAAGGAGGAAATACTCGGCCAGGCCAGTCCTGGGACGAACCGAGGGGTAGGTCAATTTGGAGAAAAGACAAATAAAGCAGGCGGAGTGCAAGGGAGACAGGACTAGCTGGGAAAAGTCACGATGCGCGACCACACAGAGCCCAGAGCGGCCCCAACTCGAGAAGTGCGGCGAGTGAATGACAAAAGGCCTTGAAACTGGCACACCCCGGTACCGGTAGTGGCTGCCAAGGGCCGAGAAATGTATTCTACGGTGACCACAGCATCTATGATGAGGCCCGGCTCCTTGGGTTGGGATGGAACCTGGCAGGAGAAAAAGTTGCTTTCTGCTTCGGGATGAGGTACAGAGGAGTGGAGAACGACGAGTAAAGAGAAGAAAGACGCCTGTCCCACCGCCCCACGGGAAGCGGCGCGCCAGACCGAAATCGGTCCCTTGGGGCCAGGCTTGAGGGCAGAACCCTAGCGGTTACTGGCGGAAACGGCTTGAGGGTGAGAGGTCATACGTGCAACTGGCAGCTGCTCAGCCAATGGGGACAGCAGACGAAGCGGATGTTACTGCTCATTGGTGATCGTCGGCAACAACCAGCAGCCAATAAGTCCTCCTGGGAGGCGTAGCTGTGACGTTTGTTGCGGAGGAGGCCGCTTCGAATCGGCGGCGGCCAGGTTGGTGGCCTGGACCAATCAGCGGCCTCCAACGAGAAGCACCTTCGCCAATCGGCGGCCTCCACGACGGGGCTGGAGGGAGGTATATAAGCCGAGTCGGCGACAGCGCGCTCATCCCCGGTGGAGACAACATAGGAAGCTTCGGTCTGGTGTCCGCTTGTGTGAGAGGTGAGCCCTGAGGCCTGCTCTTCTGGGCCTGTTCTTAGCCTTTTCGTCATTCGGCCGCTCCTTATTCGCGTCTTCTGACGCTTTCAGATCAGTGACCTCGCTGCGCTCGGGTTCTGCAGCCTGTTGCTGCGTTGTCTGCGACTCCTGCTGACCGACTGGCTGACTGGCTGACTGGCTGACTGGCTGACGGCGCCGCTGAGATGAAGCTGTGTCTGGTGGCCGCGGTGCTCCTGCTACTCGGCCCGGCGCGGGCCGAGGAGGAGGACAAGAAGGAGGACGTGGGCACGGTGGTCGGCATCGACCTGGGGACCACCTACTCCTGGTGAGTGGGGCTTGTGCTGGGGAGACGGGGCGTGGCCTCCTGGGCCGGCGTGAAGCACCGTGCTCATTTCTTCTGTTGGGTTTTTCCACCAGCGTCGGGGTGTTCAAGAACGGCCGCGTGGAGATCATCGCTAACGACCAGGGCAACCGCATCACGCCGTCTTACGTGGCCTTCACCCCAGAAGGGGAGCGTCTGATCGGCGATGCAGCCAAGAACCAACTCACCTCCAATCCCGAGAACACGGTCTTCGACGCCAAGCGGCTTATCGGTCGCACTTGGAACGACCCCTCGGTGCAGCAGGACATCAAGTTCTTGCCTTTCAAGGTCCGACTGGGTTTTTTCACCTCTTGAATGTGATTGGGAAGTTTAGGATTAAGTCGTTGAAAAATGTGGACGCGCAAAAAAGAATATACAGTAGATGCGGTGTAACAGAAGTTTTTCTTGGTAATTTTAGTATGCTAAAAAAAAAAAAAAAAAGACCGAGTAGTTGACATGGGGATATTCTATCCACCTTAGTGTAGTATTAAAATTTCAGAAATCTGACTTCGTTGGATACCTATATATGCTACCTTAGTAATGTTAGTGGATGTTCAGGTCCCAGTGACCAAAATAAGCCAGATACTGGGAAAGTGAGGCCTTAAAAGTTTGAGATGTCGGTGCTTCAGTGGCTGGAAAAATTTATACTAAGTTATTTTTTAAATAGGTGGTTGAAAAGAAAACTAAACCATACATTCAAGTTGATATTGGAGGTGGGCAAACCAAGACATTTGCTCCAGAAGAAATTTCTGCCATGGTTCTCACTAAAATGAAGGAAACTGCTGAGGCTTATTTGGGAAAGAAGGTAAATATTTCTAGAGCACTGTCAAATGTTTTTTTATAGATTATTACCACTGTTCTTATTTGACTTACATCCTACCATTGAAATGTTCATGGTCATTGCAGTTTGAATCAGATCATCCGTGTTTATCAGGTTTAGTTATTTAGTGCTTTAATGTAGGCCCAACAAAATGCTAGACAATTTTCCTGTTTTTGACACTTAACTGCTTGAAATTATGGCCATGAGGTTGTATATTGTCAAGTGCTTTCTTAGTGCTAGAGGTAGCCCATGAGTCTAACTCTCATGAAATTGTGTATATGGTACTCTCCTAGTAGACTTAACTTAGATACTTAAAGTGGTGGTTTGACTGTAATTTAGGTTTTTTTTTTTTTTTTTTTTTTTTTTTGAGGCCAGAAGATGCCTTTAGGGAATTTCTGGTTTGCCTAGAGTATCTGGGTTTGAACCACAGCATCTTGAGCTTGAGTGCTTTGTTTAAGCAGGCACTTAAACAACTAAGCTAATGGCCAGGCCCCCTTGACTGTAATTTAAATAGAGGTTAAAGTTGATGACCATACAATAATTATCACGTTATCTTTTTAGGTTACTCATGCAGTTGTTACTGTACCTGCCTATTTTAATGATGCTCAAAGGCAAGCAACCAAAGATGCTGGTACAATTGCTGGACTGAATGTTATGAGGATCATCAATGAGCCGTGAGTGTGAAATTCAGTGGTACAGCGTATTTACCCAATGGTGGAAATGTGAACTTGACTAAAATATTTTCCCCCCTTTTTATTCAAACAGGACAGCAGCTGCTATTGCTTATGGCCTGGATAAGAGAGAAGGGGAGAAGAACATCCTGGTGTTTGACCTGGGTGGTGGAACTTTCGATGTGTCTCTTCTCACCATCGACAATGGTGTCTTTGAAGTCGTGGCCACTAATGGAGATACTCACCTGGGTGGAGAGGACTTTGACCAGCGTGTTATGGAACACTTCATCAAGCTGTACAAAAAGAAGACTGGCAAAGATGTGAGGAAGGACAACAGAGCTGTGCAGAAACTCCGTCGTGAGGTAGAAAAGGCCAAGCGGGCCCTGTCTTCTCAGCATCAAGCAAGAATTGAAATTGAATCTTTCTATGAAGGAGAAGACTTTTCTGAGACCCTAACTCGTGCCAAATTTGAAGAACTAAACATGGTATGTGCCTTGATTTTTTGCTTTCCTAATGAGATTTAGAGTCACTGAATGTAGAACAACGCATATAGAGACCCAGGCAATATCTAGGTAACAAGTATCAGTAACCATGGCTTTTATTCTAGGATCTGTTCCGTTCTACCATGAAGCCTGTCCAGAAAGTGTTGGAAGATTCTGACTTGAAGAAGTCTGATATTGATGAAATTGTTCTTGTTGGTGGCTCTACTCGAATTCCAAAGATTCAGCAACTGGTTAAAGAGTTCTTCAATGGCAAGGAGCCGTCCCGTGGCATAAACCCAGATGAGGCTGTAGCGTATGGTGCTGCTGTCCAGGCTGGTGTACTCTCGGGTGATCAAGATACAGGTAAGCCACTGACACCCCTTTTTTTTTTTGAGACAGGGTCACACTGTCTTTCAGGCTGATCTTAAACTCACTGTGTAGCTCAGGCTGGCCTCAAGCTCACAGCAATCCTTCTGCCTCAGCCCCCAGTGCTGCTGTGATTACAGTCACAGTACTTATCACAGTATTGTGCATCATGCTTAAGTACGTCACGGGGAGGGGGGAAGGGATGTAGCCCAGCATCAAAGGGCCTGCCTGGTAGGTAAGCATGAGGCCAAGAGTGAATCCTTGTACAAAAAAAAAAAAAAAAAAAAGAAACCTCAGCTCTCTAGAAAGACAGTAAGAAGCTTTGACCTTAGAAAACAATAGAATACACAGCGAAGGAAAGAAATATCAAAGATAGGACCTGGGGCAGTCTTGAGATTCTTTGCAGCTGTTTAATTCATTTCTCCTATATGTCTATGGTCATAACCTTAGTAAGTGGCAAAACCGAAAAGAAACTCAGTTTCTGGGGAGACTTGGTAGTGGTCTTGGGACTCACATTGCATTGGAACGTAACTTGATGCATGCCCTTTTGCAGGAGACCTGGTACTGCTTGATGTTTGTCCCCTCACGCTTGGCATTGAAACTGTGGGCGGGGTCATGACCAAACTGATTCCAAGAAACACCGTGGTCCCTACCAAGAAGTCTCAGATCTTCTCCACAGCTTCTGATAATCAACCAACTGTTACAATCAAAGTCTATGAAGGTAATGATATTTGTCAGTACTGTGGTAGGTCTTAAAAGGATATGACTTAGCATTTAATATGTAGTATTAAAAGGATTGAGGAAAGTTTTCTTTTTCAGATGGCAGAAATCCTTAATTTGACTAGTGTTGAATTTCATAGAGTCTGTATTTAAGTTATTTAGCACTTGTTCCTGTTAAAAATAACTTTTGAGCTGGTTCTG